CACCAGTTATGTTATTTTTAATTCTACCATTCCTTCAAATAGTATGTCAGGAAAAAAGATAATCATTCCTACTAAAATAATGATTTGTGATCTTGCCTGTAATACATGTTGAATATTTTCAGATTCCTCTTCATTATTGCTACAGGCCACTATTCAATTACACATAAAGAATGCTTGTAAAAGGGGAGTTACCCTTGTATTCCCCTCCTTGCAGACTCTAGTCATCCCCCAAATCTATTCAGTAGGGATTGAACAGAGGTTTGCAATGGGAGGGAGAATGAATTCCATCAGCTAGTATATAGAACACACACACCCACACACACGGGATACATGTTTTGTATTGTAAGATTTTTTTTTTCTTGCATTGTACAAATTTGCCTACTTAGTGGTACTATTAGTGCCCCAAATGTATGCATATGCATGTTTTATAATTTTTTATTTTGTCATTTTGAATAAGAGGTTTTAAGCTTAATGAATATGTTGTAAGCTTACTGTAAACTCTCACTAGTTCATAATGAGGAAAATTTACAAGAGACATCATTTAATCTCAAAATCTTTTACAGGAAAATCAGTAGCAACAAATTAGGCTTCCATGAATGCCATTTTCTTAATTTTAACAATGGCAGTCAACCTCTTCTCTCAAATGACCATTTCAGAGGCCATCTGTACCATTATTACAGACATAGCTTCCATATTGATAGGCTTTCCTAAGAAATGGATTCCAGTAGGAGCATTTTATCCCTCTGCTTATTCTGAGGATCAGCATTTTGCTTTATACTTCTTAATTTCCTTAAATGACATTTATTTAAGGTAGACAACAGATACTAATTCCATAAAATCTAAACAGAACAAGTATAAATATAGCCTAGCTTGGATGCCAAGAATATTTGACATGTGAAAGATAATTAAGAGTCACTTTGGAGTCAGACAACATCAAAATTGAACTAACTAAATAAATAGTAAATATAACAGAATGAAAAATTTAAAAGAAAATTTTTGGAAGTGAAACTTAAATTAGAAAATATAAAAGAGATTTAAAAATAATAAAATATGTTATCAATTAATATCAAAATTTTATACTAGTATTTACAGTAGAATATGACAAAATATAGACATTTTAAATTCAATGGGGCTGGCTACAGGTTCTGTTTCCTTTTGTAAATATGACTAATTTCTGTACACTAAATTTGGGTGCATTTTGTCTCTGTTCAAGATGTGGTTTTGGTAATGTAGCAATACTATACATCTTACGAACTTTAGCAAAGAACCTTGATCAACATCTATGGTCAAGTACAATTCAGGAGTATGGAATTAATTGTTGTGGAAGGCTCATTTGTTCCAGTTGCTAATAAGAAAGAGATACTTTAGTGATAATGCCTAAAGTGAATAACAGAACCGATTGCGATAAAGAAGTGCTATTTTCTCTGTACAGCTGATCCTAAACTGAGACTTCTGGAAATCTCTTCAAGCAGTAAGGTCCCCTTCCTCTAACATTCCTACTAGATACAAGAGACAATAAGTCATTGCAGAATGAAGACTGAAGCCAGCAAGTACACAGAGAGAACAGACAGGGATGTATTGTAGCAACTCATGCTTACACACATGCCAGCAATAGCCTTAATTAAGACTTGTATCATAGTAGAGACACAACACTCAAGGTAGCAAACTGTTAATGAGCTGGGGCTGCTCTGAACATTTTGAAACAGGCTGAGAGTCAAAATAGACATGCTGAAGTTGTCACAATAGGGGATGAGTTAGAATTTTCTAAGTTTTTTTAGTAGTTGGGGGAGAAATGTGTGTTTTTTTTTTATTTTATAAATTGATTATGTGCCATCAAGTTGGTCTTGGCTCTTAACCACACACTATTATTTTTAATGTATTCCCCACCTCCAATGGTAGGAGATATTTCTATCAATTTTTGGCAACTATGGTTAAAGGTGAATTCCAGGACTACAAAACAGATACTTGGGGTCCCTGAAGCCTCTGCTTGCCTAGTCCTGCTGCAGCCAGAGAACTTTTTATTTGAACTAATAAACATTTAGGCCATATCTGAAACTGGTAGCACAGATATGCGCATGTGTTTTTGTTGGAAGGGGAGGGGGATTAATTTTATTATTTATTTATTAAACTTATACCACTGGCTATTAAAGTCTCTTAGTGGTTTGAAATAGATATGCAATTACATGGATATTTACTAGCAAATAAGATTGACTGAGTTCATTTGGAGTTATTCCTGACAATGTGCACTTGGGGCAGCAGTCACACAATCAGCTGGACATGTGGTTACTGATACTATTTTGTGGGCTACAGGCATGGTAAAAAACATTTTATTACAATACAATGTGGCAGGCATAAATAGGAAGAAATCCAGCCGGCAGTCTCTCTGTTCTTGTGAGTCTATATATTTCTTGCAATGGATTTCAGTAGCTACATAGTTATCACATTATACTGAAACTGCACTGCAATTACAAACTATTTTTTTTTAATGAAAATGTTTATCTTACTCTATCCATTCACCTCCTTTCATCAAATGAAGTATCCAAACCCCATAAAGACATACTGAGATAGTTGCTATTTCCAGATCTCATCTGCCCAGTGCCCTACACTCAGTTGAACTATCTATGATCAATAAGGCTTATCAGAATAACTGATTAACTACTTATGAAACCTGTTTAATCCTGATATGTTACTTTACTGTCAACAAAAGTCCTAGCAATATACTATGTTGAGGAGTCTATATTAATTCCTCCCTGTTTTCTAGTTTAAAAGTTGAATACTGCAGGTGGCTACCACAGGGATGTTACTACCAGGTGCAGAACTAGAAATGTCTGCTTATATGACATCCTCAACATCCTTATATGAAGATGAAAATAATTATCTTTATGCTCCTTAATTTACTAGGAAAGCATGGGTAAGGTAATCTATAGAGACTGCATGCTAGCATCCTTTTTAGAGTTAGAAAAACATTTATGTAAGGTTTTTATTTCAAGCACACACTAAAATTACTATTATGTACATGAGAGGAAAAATCTCTGCCAATCAACCTGACATGCAATTGAAAGACTGACGCTAATGGCTATTACTAGAATGAATCTGTCTGAAGCGGAACTGCTTACTATTTTCTATATAATGTGTACCAGCATTTTAAAAAAATAATACTGTACTAGTTTTATGGAATCCAAGTAACATTCTCTTATTTCAGCAAGGAATAACTCTTTCTAATATCTTCTCTAACAATGACAAGCTTCTTAATTTTTTTAGTTGTTAGTTTTCTGTTGAAAATAAATGAAAATCATTGTTCAAAGTATCTAGGGCTTTATGCTGAACTTAAAATTGTCAGTGAAATTATTATCAGAAAAGGTTGAAATGTAGTAGAGAAGCAAACTTTATAATTATTTTCATGTATCCAAAGCTAGTGAGTATACAAATGATTTTTAGGAAAAAAAATCTTTGAAATAAGTATTATTTAAGTGATGAAATTTTATATCCTCACTTGAAATTCAACAGCTTCAGTCTCACTTGGTAACACAGTCAAACTTTGATAAAAATCATATAATAGATCACAGTATAACTTTTAGCAATCATTTCCCATCCCCCTTAATATTTTGATGAATGCTTCTGTCAAGAAGGATAAAGATCACAATTTTATTTAGAGTTAACTACTTGAACTTTCAGGATTCCATTCATGAATATTGCAGCTGTTAACAACTGATAGGATCACTGTTTGTCCCATTTTGATGATGTAATCATAGACTAACTTGCCTTTGAAGCCTTGTTTCATTCAGGCAAAGAAGAGATACTGAGGTATGGCAAAAATGAGTTGTGACCTTAACAGGGTCTGCTTAGTAAAATGTTTTCTTAAAATTTATCAGAGTTTGCTAGGAACAATATGCTAGCTACAATTATAATGAAGATATGCCTTTAACTCAGAAGTAAAATAGAAATGATAAAGTTCTGACTTACTCAAGCAATGATTAACTGATCTACCTAACCATGAATTTGAGATCCCAGAAGCCAAGAGCCCTGTGGAAATGTTGCCAACAAAGCTGTATTTCAATGCTACATTTATTTTGTATTACATTTTGAATGAAATGGCATTAATTTTATTCTAAAAGCAGATAACAAAGTAGTTCAGAAAATAAACACACAATTAAATATAGCGGTCTATAAATTTTTTAAAAAATTGTCATATGATAGTGGTCTATCAAATACAGAAAATCCTAGATGATTGTATCACTGACAATCAATTATTCTGAATAATACAACCGTTTTCTACACAGAGGAAAAAATTGTAGTTTAAGAATTCCTCTTGAACATTTTTCTTTAAATTATTAATACACCTATACCTCAACATACTGTATAGCTGATTCTATATTGCTCTCTGTATGTATAGAACTAATACAAGTGAGCTAAGGAATATACAGAAGAACAATGTATCTTTTCTAATAATCTTTGTGAAGGAGGCAGTACTGATTTGGACCTCTTTCTACTTTCAGGCATCATCAGGGGCTGCTTGTACAGGCCTCTAGATATCTGAAACCTCCATGCAGCTCTAGCCAATGTGGGAAATACTAGAGGAAGATGGAAGCTACAGTCCAGAAGTGTCTGGAAGACTGCAGACTGCCACTTCAGAAATAAAATTACATCAATTATCTAGCCTTAGGTGTCATGTGTAATACTTTGTATAGCATTCCGCTAAAAGACCTATTTTTTAATTCAGATTGCAATATCAGAAGTCTTTCCCTTTACAGTATTGCTATTCATCAAACTTTAGAGAACTCAGACTTGGCTGGGCAACACATTTGGGGCAATCTCTTAGATTAAATTAAGTCTTGCAAACACACACAAATAAAACTACTGTGAGTTGCACAGAAGCATGAATGAGATACTGAAAGTGCCTGGACTGAGTTTAAAACTGCCTCTTATGCTATAAAGTGGCTTTTGTTCCACAATCATGTAAGTGCCTCCACTTGGGAAAATGAGTATAAAGATGTCCTTACCAGCATGCAGGTAAGCTAAGTCAGGGTTCTCAATGTCAGGATGTAGTTCTTTCAAGTGATTGCGAAATTCCACTGGGATATTGGTTCCATATTCACATTTAGGGCAGTTGTACATCTTTACGCCTTCATGTTTACCTGTGTGCAGGATATGCTTGCGGATATTTTCAGCACAGTTGGACCTAAAATGTGCGGAGGGTGGGGGTGGAATAATAAAGTCATATTATACATCCCTGCTAAGATACTGAATTGAAATATTGTTATAAAACAATACAATTAGGCTTATGAGTAAATTAGGCTTAAGAGTAAATTCCCATTATATAACTGATACTGACTAGCCTGTTTCAATAAAGCACACTTCAAGAAAGGTTTTAGTATAACTGAAAATACATGTGAATATATTTTTTAAAAAAGCTTTTTTTTTTATCCCTTTGAAGGAATCCTAATCTTCTCACATTTTCTGAGTAAAAGAATCACTTAGATAATTCAAAAATCTGCAGATCTGTTAAAAAAATATTTGGAATTGGGAACATCAATTGCCTTCCACTGAACCTGGTGCAATAATGTGGCAGGAATATTATGCTGTCACTGCAGGTAAATAGACCACAGAAATAGTATGCAAAACCATATCCAGAATTCATAAAAAACTGATTGTATGCTGCATTTTTTATTACGATTCTGCCAGAAACAGCAGAAGAAAGAGAGGGTTTGCAGTGACGAACATGAAACAAAGGGCACAGTGGCACTATACAATACTTTGGAAAAATGGTACAAGGCGCAAGGCCTTCTGTCTGTGGCACGGCCCAAAACTATTTCATCAGTAAGTTCAACAGGCTGATGAAGGTATTAGGAACAGTCCTATTTTCTTGCTCTCTTGCTCAGCACTTACTGAAGTATGCACCTTCTCTTTGTTTCAGACATATGAGGCTTGCACCTATGGGTTATTGTGTAGCTAGATGCATACCCCAGACATTCAGTATATAGCAAATATATTTCTGTTCACAAAGTGTATCTCAAAGCAAATGCATTATGTTCTGTTAAAGCCACTTGGTGAACTTGTACACACATAAAATTTCTGAATTATAGTTTTTTTGGTTTTACAGTACAAAATAAAAAGTGGTCTTGTCTATTTAGGTTCTGGCTACATGGTCTGTGGTCTTCAATGTACTCCAGAAAATCTGGTGGGTCCCTCAAGAGAAGTAGTGCATCTTTGTTAGAAGTCAGCTTGTGTTTTTTCTTTGCTGTAAGCGTTTCCTGCGAAGAATCTAAACTTGATTAAACAAATGTTCAAAAAAATTACCGAAGTACTTATAAGGGGAAAAACCAGAAAAAATAAACATAAGAAAAGGCAAGACTTAGGGCAGCGCCCAAAAGTAAGGAGTTTGAGCGTCCTGGACATTTTACATAGGTCTTACTTAAAATTAGAAAATAACTACAAGAAGTCAGTCAGTCAAACATAAATATACTATTCTCTCTGTGGTGACCAAATAAAATTGATAGCAATCTTAGACTATTTTCTACACTTACCTTCTGTCATAGATGTCTGCTATATAGTACAGGTGAAACTCGAAAAATTAGAATATTGTGCAAATTTTCATTTATGTCAGTAAGGCAACTCAAAAGGTGAAACCAATATATGAGATAGACGCATTACATGCAAAGCGAGGTATGTCGTGTTATTGATGTCATGTAATATTCTAATTTTCTGTGTTATTGATGTCATGTAATATTCTAATTTTCTGTGTTATTGATGTCATGTAATATTCTAATTTTCTGTGTTATTGATGTCATGTAATATTCTAATTTTCTGTGTTATTGATGTCATGTAATATTCTAATTTTCTGTGTTATTGATGTCATGTAATATTCTAATTTTCTGTGTTATTGATGTCATGTAATATTCTAATTTTCTGTGTTATTGATGTCATGTAATATTCTAATTTTCTGTGTTATTGATGTCATGTAATATTCTAATTTTCTGTGTTATTGATGTCATGTAATATTCTAATTTTCTGTGTTATTGATGTCATGTAATATTCTAATTTTCTGTGTTATTGATGTCATGTAATATTCTAATTTTCTGTGTTATTGATGTCATGTAATATTCTAATTTTCTGAACCTTTTCACACTATTCTAATTTTCTGAGATTGTGAATTTGGGGTTTTCATAAGCTGTACGCCATAATCATCACAATTATACCAAAGTAAGGCTTGACATATCTCGCTTTGCATGTAATGCGTCTATCTCATATATGGGTTTCACCTTTTGAGTTGCCGTACTGACATAAATGAACATTTGCACGATATTCTAATTTTTCGAGTTTCACCTGTATATGGTAAAGGATTTTCAAAAAATATATCTACCATCTTTATTATAATTAATAATGGATCCAAATAGAATTTCACATATGCTATTGAACCAAGAATCCCCAGTAAATTTATTGTGTTATAATAGCTTATTTTAGTACTGAGATCTAACTAGACATAATTAAAAGTATCAACTGGATTATGTTTCCTTTCTCAGTGCAACAATGTCTGTCCTTGTGCCATCCAGGCCAAAAACTAGACTGAAAAGGGTCTAGATAACCTTTTTCCTCTAAGAACACTATCACTCTCTCAACCTGATTAGCTATTTTCTTTTTTTTTTTTAAATGGCCTGGTAGCTATTAAAATCAGTTGGTTCTAAAGATGACTTCTTAAACTGGGGCCTCATTTGACTCTTTTAAGATAGCAGGGAAGGCCACATGCCAAAGATAGGTATCAGTAATTATCAGAAATCATAGGCAGAATGAAATCCTTAGAGGTCTTTATAAACCAAATCAGGAAGGCATCTAACAGAGAAACAGTGGCATGAAGAGATCCAAGAAACTTATTCACTTCCTCAAGAGATAAGCAACCAAGGTCAAATGTTATAATGCAGTACACATTGGACACCCTAAGTATAGTGACATGAAGCCTGCCTTAGAGCTGCAAAGTGTTCACAAAAACATTATAGTAAAGTACTAGCAGAGATCATGAAAGGCCATGTCATCTGCCCAACAGCCCAGAAGAGTTCCACTGACCAGGTCTGTGTTGATGCAATCAGACAGGAAATCCATTTCTTTGCCTCCTAGATCACCATGGCATAGGTTATATAATGCTGCCTCCACCAGATCCTGATTCAATCCTAGATCTGGACCACAGTTACTCAAATTGCCTGCCCTCTTGCTATACTATTTTATACTGTTTGGTGTTCCAGCAGGCTCCAATAGGCACCCTGGGATAAGGTCAGGCAGAAATCACCATTACAAGTTCCATGCAGATTTTGTTCCATATCTCAAACAGATGGTTGCTAGAAAACCAGGTAAGTTTGAGAAAATACCTCTAGAGCTTCCTGAAATCTAAGCAGAACCATCACCCTCTGGGGCAGATCAGCCTGATTTGATCCCTGACTCTGCAGAGGACAGCATGCTATAATACCTCAATCTCCCCCTACTAGTGATTCATCCATGACAAGGATATAGAGATAATTTTCTTTGCCTTGTCCTGCTTGGTCTGTATGTTAAACACCAGGTGAACTTCTTGAACTTTCATAAGATCATGGATACTAGCGGTTTATGTTTTTACTGTTTTTATTTACTTACTTTTATAATGATGCATGTCATTATCTTTAATTTCTTTCCTTCAGTAAATGTATACTTTGGCCCTTTAAGAAATTATTTCTCTTATGTGCTGAGACTGCTCTGAAATGTTTATTGTGTTTATACAGTTGTGCCTAAAGGAAGGTTAGTGACTAGATTTTCCCATTTCTCCCACAAAGCATTGTATCTTGTACCTTTAGATATGGGTGTTTGGGGTGGGGGTGGGGTGAAAATGTGCATTACAATGTTTTGATGTAAACTGTACTTCTTTTGTAATTGCATCATAACATCACACATAAGTTTCTAAAGGTTGGTACCTAAGTTCACTACAGATACCCATGGTCTTGAAAACCCTCCAGGATCAGAAAAAAGGAACTTGTGTGCCTTATTTTAAGAGAATCAGAGGATAAGCACTAATTGTTTATGATACACCTGAAATGTTAGAACTGGTATTCATTTTGAGCAATTAATCAGAAGTTCTCCTGTTTTTTCATAAAGAATTACCAGCATTCTTGTAGAGGCAGAGGAAAACAAGGATATTATAAAGGTTAAGACTATACACTTAAGAAGGATTCAGACAAACTGGAACAGGATCAGGAACTGGCAACAACAATGAGCAAGAAACTGAAACTGAAACATTACTTTTATAATGATGCATGTCTTTATCTTTAATTTCTTTCCTTCAGTAAATGTATAGTGAGTATACACTATATATGTATATGTATAGGCTTGAGTGAATTGGGAATCTTTTGCCCTAAAAAGATTGATGATGGATATGATTGCACTTTTCAAATACCTGAAAGGATGTCACATGGAAAACCAACCCTTTATCAACCCAAAAGTTCAGGCCATGTAACAATGGATTGAAGTTATAGTAAGGCACATTCTGAGTAAATGTAACAAAATCTTTCTAAACAGTAAGAGCAGTATGCTAGTAGAGCCAATTACCCAGAGAGGTGGTGGGTTTCCCTTCTTTTGATGTGTTCAAGCAGACACTGGACAGCTATTTGCCTGGGATGCTTTAATTTGGATTCCTCTCCTGAGCAGGGGGTTGGACTTGATGGCATAAATGGCCCCTTCCAACTCTATGATTCTTTGATTTGTAGACAGCCTAAATATCAGCTTGCATTACAAATGCCATGCAATCAGAAATAGCTGCACATTTTCCCTGTGCAAGAATCAACGGCAGTAACAGGTACTGAAACCAAGCCTCCATTTAAAAAAAAAAAAAAAGCACCTAGAAACATTGGCATTCATCTACTTCCACCTCTCCTGACATCTCAATGTTTCATAAGGAAAATATGGTTGGAATTAATATTGACAGTATTGGAGTTATGAGCTAGTGCACTGTAGTAACAATAGTTTCAGCTTTTTCACGTTTGTAGCTTTGCAAGAATTTTTTATGATCTATTTGTTATGACATGCAGTATGCGTGACAGATGTCCAATGCTGGCTGTTATAAAGTAGCAAAAGCCTGTAGGATAGGAGCAGGAACTGTGCATCAGTACTTGAGAAAACTGTTCAGTTAATGAAAAAAACTGATGGGGTGCATGTCCAAATGGC